TTATCCCTACTAAACATCAACACGCTAGAAATGTCATTGTAAGCATGTTAGTGTGCTGATGTTGGCATAAAACTGAAGGGACTGCTGTGGCTAAGGACCTATTGAACTTGATGTATACAGATAAAGTTAAAGTGCTAAGCTGTAAAAATTGAAATATGTCCCCTCCTGGGCTTTGTTTGTTTATTTTTATGATGTCCTGACTTTCAAAAGTTCCTCCTTTCCCTTTCTTGCTTTCTCTTCCCCTGTCTTTGTCTCCCTCTGTATTCCCAGTGGGACAGGATGCCCTACCTCGGGCTGTTGACTGAGAGAAACTTTGGTATTTTAAACGTTTGCATACTGCCGTACACAGGGAGGAAATCAGATCTAGGGCATCAACTCTCCCCTCAGGCACAGGGGGTAACCTGTAGGCAGGCAGGCAGGCAGGCAGGCAGGCAGGCAGGCACGCACGCACGCACGCACGCACGCACGCACGCACGCAGTGTTCAGAAACCATGCCAGTGCAGGGAACAGTTATTGCTGTGTGAGTTGCATGGCTGCCTGTAGCTGAGTGCCTCATGTTGATACAGGCTCTGTGTGGCACAGACCCATATAGCCGAGCTGTTGTTTGCTGAGTTTGGTCCATGTCATACTGGCTGGAGAGATAATGGAAAAGGTTATTCTGCTTTACAGTTGGAGCCTCTGTCTCCAAGCAGTGGCTTGGTTTGTGTGGATTGGGGCTTTCTGTGTGTGGCGGCGGAATGATAATGTCAGCACTTCTCATGACATTTGAAAGTGTAATGGCTAGGGTCACTGTGGTCTTCACTGTTTTGCAGGACTGTGGGGGTTTTTTTTGTTTTGTTTTTTTGATGCCCTCTGTCTTTCTCTTCCAACCTTAATGCTTCTAAATTTGTCAGATGGAGGTGTTAACTGTTTTTATGTGTGCAAAATATAATCTAATATATATTATATAATATGTCCAAACTCACACTGTATAATGCCATGATACCATGATGTATATAGGTTTTTATCCTGGAAGACTTTATTAAGAATGCATCCCCAGCTCTTAACTATGTTTCAGACAACCGCTATCTACTGAGCCTCAAAGCAAAAACTAATTCAGCCTTTGAAGCAAGTAGGTCTATTCCTACAACCTGAAGCAATCCTGTTGCTGAGCTTATTCTCTGGCCACGGTTCTGTGAATGCGAAGCAACCTATTTGTAGTTGTAAGCTGAGCGGCATGCCTTGGGGAGCAGGCTAAAAAGCGTCAGGTCATTCCCAACAGCGACGGGCTAGCTTCCCGTAAGTGCTGCAATCAAATTTCAGATTTTTTTTCCCCCCTATGGCTGCTCAATTGTAATAGGAATATGTTGACCCACCCGCCGCCCCCCCGACCCATTATGCAGCCTACTGAGAAATAATGAGATTTTATCCCTATTTGGGTTTGATGCTTGCTGTGCTCTAACACACAACCAGACCATCCACCGCTGACTGGAGAATGTAGTGTGGACAGAATTACAATAAGGGCTAATGGCAACATCCAGGCTAGGTGAAAGAACAATGGTGTAGCTTGATGTATGAGGCCCAAGTCTTTTTGACATGACATGGGTGGCATTCAGTGCACAGCAAAGTTTAATCCAAAGTGCCTTTCAGTGAACACTTATACTATGGCAGGCAAAATTGAACTGGACTTTTAAGAACCTTGCAAGGCTCTGATACATAGTGCTTTATGTGTTTCCACTTGCAAACAAGGCGGCAGTAGGACTGGTGTCATGGGGTAACATTGGAAGAAGTGGTGCAGATATTGTCACATTTAAGTTGAATGGCACAAACCTCTTAGTTGCCCAAAAAAACACCCAGGTCAACACATTGTTTATAATTTGAAAATAATTTTTTTTAGATTAAGCCTCAAACTGTTTTCTTGATAAATTGATTGATTAACAGTAGTTAATAAAATGTCAGGGAATTGTGAAAAGCGCTTACCATAATTTCCCAGAGGCCAACATAATGTCTTCAGATGTGTGAAGAATTACTTTCAAAATTGTTGAAGATTAATATATTTTCCACTGTGTAATAGATTTACCAAGTAACTGTTTCATCTCTATAGCAACCAGCTTTGTAATTTACTAGTTTTCTGCATTACACGCAGCACGCACTTTTCTGTAATCTTGTCCCAACTTTTTAGTTTTTTTCCTGCCCTGTTTAGTTGCGTTATATCCCTATTTCTGCAATACACCAGGTGTTGTTTATTGTAGTCGTCCTTGTTGTGATGTGATGACACATCTGCTTGTCCATAATAGGGCTGAACAGTTAATTGTATTCAAATTGAAATTGCGATTTGACGAACGCGGTTAGCTAATCATAAAGACGGCAATTAAAATGTAGGTTAATTATACAGCGCATCTGAGCCATTTCAAACAGTCATGCAGTTAAAAATTCATTAGGTTGTCATCTTTGTGTGACAGACCTGCTCGCCAATCACAAGCGCCATGCGCCTCCTGTTACGGTCCTACTCACCAATAAGAGCGGGCACAGAGCGTGTACATATTACAACAACAAACGAAGCTAGAGGAAAACGTGGGATAATGGCGTCTGACACAGGAGGTGGCTGTGCTGCTTCTTTTTTTTTTCGGCGTCAGCCTACCATACAATGTTGACGTGTTAATTTGTCATTTGTTTTTGTGTTTCAGCTATGGATAACAGCTTTCTGTGAGCCTGTTTCATTCCGCTCTGTGCAGGCTACAATATCGCACATGGAGCCAGGGCTCGACAATAACGGTGGCCTGATGGCCCAGGGCCAGTAAAAAGTAACATCGGGATAATTGAACTAGCAACTCATTGGCCCGACTGGGCCAGTGCAAAAAAATAAATTACAATCTCAACATCCTGCCGTTGTTTTGCAGCTCATGACAGGCACTGTTGTCCAATCCAGATTTGTAGTTACGTTATGAGTGGTTGTCAAATGCTATTCGTCTAATCTCAATCACGCGGAAACCTCTGGGTCTGAAAGTGAAAACCATGCAGACGGAACTTAAAACTGCACTGTCTCTAATGGCCAGCAGGAGGCAAGTCCGCTGGTTAAATGATGGTCCTTAATGCAGCGTATGCTTTAGGGTGGGACTAACTTGTGATTGACAGGTTGCTACCATGCCGACCTGTCAATCAGAATAGAGCTGCTCTGTGTACGTTTTTTAATTAAGTGGCAGTCAGCAGGAGAGAGAGCATGTTTAGTCTGTTAGTATGTTTTGTTTTAAAAGGAAATTGTTTTGTTAACCTTTTTATTTTTTATGATTTTAACTGTGATCACATTTTTTGTTTACTTTTTTTATATCCAGGATGTATTTAATAACTGATTTTGTTGTCACACTGGGGCCTGTAAAAACTGTCTTCGGGCCAGTAAGTTTCAAACCCACCGGCCCGTGGAGCCAGTTGCCAAAAAGTTTAACGTGCATGGAGCATTTCAGAATAAGAGCCTTTCTGATTTTGATGACTTGTTCAGATTTTGTTAATTTGTCCATCTGTCCTTGATTTTTGTTCTTCTATCATGGTTAAGTAGGCTAGGCAGTTAAAGTGTTTCTTTTTTAACTGTGTTCATTTTTAATATATAATCGGGAGTCTGCACAGGGTGTTTTATTTTGGAAATTGACCGGCTTCTCTATGCCGTTCTGTGTCTGATTTCCTGCCCGGTTCATCTGCTCTGTGCTGCTTGACGCGGGTTCTGTCAAAAATAGACTGGCAGTGGATATGTAACTTTAGCTAAACTTAAAGCAATTAGATTTTTACCCAAAATTGTATAGTCCATAATGTCCATTTACGATCAACGGCACCGCCAGCAACCCCTGAAAATACCTGGAACTTGAATTTAGTAGCACGTTCTGAGCAGGGTTGAAATTCATTTCTAGGAACTCGTTCCGTAACCTTCCAGCGATCAGAGGAAACAAAGGCAGAATCCGTGACAGTGGCTACATGTTGTTACAGTTTGTGAAGTTCCTGCAGTTGAATTAGTCTCCGTGCGCATTGCTTGTTTGCACATTGTTTATTTTGTTGTACTTGCAGCATGTCCACAAACTCACCAAGGCCAGTTTCAGGAGCCACGTGTATTAATTTTGCATACACAGTAACATTTAACAGGTATTTCATTCAATGGATTAAACAAACATTATTTTTTTATTTGAACTGTAAAATGTTTGAATTCACCTTCAACATCTGTCTATGGCTACCACCATTTCAGTTGCATTTTGATAGAAGAAGGACCGCCGATCCTTACTGCACACATCCTTTACAACGTGCATACAAGCACTTCCATGAGTGACCAGTTGAGTGTGATGTTGCAATGTGGCAAAGAAGAGGGTGACGTCAGTTTTATTTGGAGCTACATCTTTTCATCAACTCAAAGAACTCAACACATTCTCAACCAAGTTCCCTATAATATTTATAATTGTTTGTGTTACCGTAATTATTTATACTAGCAAGATTTATTCTGGCGAGAGTAAGTAGGTTTACATATTGTCACCCAAATTAAATGTTGGAATAACAATAAGGACTGTTGGAATAACTCTTAAAGTTGCTCCAGCAAGCTGCAAGACGCTGTCGTTGCCAGCCAAATGCAGAAAGAGTCTGGGTTATGTCTTTTGAAGGTTAAATGGGGGTGTGTCGACATCCATTTAGGCCTATAGCTAATTGTGGCTCTATGTGGGTAAGGCTCGTGTGCAGGTGCATACTTTCACAGTGATCGAGATATAACGCATAAAGTCTGGCAGCGGGTATGCATGTTCCTGCACACTTTAATCTACAGGGTTTTATGCATTTGGCCCCTTGTGTGTGGAAACATACGTGGCAATCAAAGTCTTAGTAATGTCTTACCCGTTGGACTGTCAAATGTGAAAACTGCTTGATTTCATGTTTGTGTTTTTAATTATTTCTCTCACTTTACTCTTTCTCTTTCATTCACCCCTTCTCCTCTGTCTTACTCTTTCCACTCGTTTTTCTTACCTTGTCTTCTCTTGTGTTTTTGTCTTTGCCAGGCTTCATCGCAGCAGCTGAAATTCACAACCTCTGACTCCTGTGACAGAATCAAGGATGAGTTCCAGTTCCTCCAAGCACAATACCACAGGTGCAAAGGAAAACACATACATAAATACAAAGGAGAAGTAGTTTTATATGACAGACTGATAAGTGCAGTTTTTTGTAGTAAGGAGACTATATAAAGGCTATACATGTATTACTTAGTGTTTTTCTTTATAGATGATGCCGTTTTTTAACAGTACCTACAATGTTAAACTGCAGAACTGATTATTTTACAGGTCTTTACATTACTAATAATTTCCTAGGAAGTTCCCTGGAAAGAAATATATAATTTGCAGTGTTTCCCACAGTTTGACAGCGTAACTGTGGCGGGGTTGTGCCGAATTTTGCATGCCTGCCGAGAATTGCATGAAAATGCATTAAAGTTCTGCTTTTAAACGCTATACTATTCTTTGTGGGCTTCATCAATAGTGATAAATGATCAGTATATATTTTATGAACGTTAAGAATCGTTAATATATTATTACGCTTAGTAAAAGTACCATTTCTTGAGATTCAGCAAAAACATGTGGCTGTTTTTATTCCCCTATCTATCAAGTCAGCGAAAGTCAGCCAGTTATTCCGAACGCACCTGTTGACTACCAGTTATACAGCGTGCTAACTTCAACAGCTGTTTTCCAAAGCTATCCTTATTAGCTAGGCTCCTTACATGCTTGCTAATAACTGTTTTGAAGATGGGTCTCCAACATTGACAGCAGTGTGTTGGACAGATTTGGGCAGCGGTGTTTATGATACCAACCATTCAATTCACAGACGGGTCTGTTGTCCGTGTTTGCGAGACAGAAAGAAAGAAAGAAAGAGAGAGAGAGAGAGTGAGCGACTGAGTGATAGGATGTGCGTAGCGAATATGCGCTGCGCTGCAATCGAACGATTTTAAAATGGGTCGCCAAATTTACTTGGGCGGCTGTTAATCTACCTGGGCGGCCCGCCCAAGTAAAACCTATGTATGGGAAACACTGATTTGGAATTAATATCGGTAAAATACAGACTGCGTTCAATTGGTACATTTCCAATTAATAAATAAACTGCTAAGCTACTGTAACTCAAAATCTACAGGCAAGCATATAATTCAGCATGAATGAAGGACAAAGTTTCTAATAATAAATGAAAAATTTGAATGATTTGATATTTATTTCAGTTTAAGTGGAGCTGTTCTTTCAAGGAAATTCCTAAATCAGTGGTTGCTTTTTAACTCAACACACGACTACATAATCAAAAATAATAGTCTCATAATTTAGTCTCTATTTACTCTTTTTGTATACCAAACTGTGTTAGTTCTTTAAAGAAATTATTGGAGTGGGGGGAGCTTTACAGAAAATGTAGCTTTAGGGACTCCTCAATAGTAAACTGTGATAAGATGAAGATGTCAGTCTTTGTTCCACTATTCCTCATCTCTACCACTGCACTGCACACTGAGGAAACATCCTTTATTGACTCATATCTGAATCAATCTCGTTTACCCTGGGCTTTTGATTTCCCTTTACTGTTTAAATACTCCAACAGTGCCAGAAGTCTGAGGCACTTCCAAAGTGCCTGGTTCGACCCTAACTGATCTGTTTGATAGCAGTTATGAAGAGGGGGGACGCCACGGGGTCTGCATCTCAGTGAGTCTTTGAAGCTCGTCTTCCTTCCTGAGGAGGTTGGTTTGTTCCTCTGTACCTGTTCTCCCAGAACCTTCCAGAGGCTTGCCTCTGCCGGTTACAGAGACAGGCGAAGGCAGATAAAAGCGTGTAAAATTGTGTGCAAAAATCCCTGCTCTGGTCTGATCGCTCTTGTTTGCGGAGGACTCTGAAGCAGCAATAACACCCTGCGCGTCTTTTTCCTCGCCTTTTGGTTTTTTTAATTCCCACAACGGTGAGCAGCATCGTTTAACCCTCTTCAGAGTTCCGGGGCGCAGTTGAAAGAATACCTTTTTTGTCTGAGCATACAGAACATGCATACAGTGCCTGTTGACTCAGGAGGGGGGCTGAGATCGGTGGGGAGCTTGGGAGCCACAGACGAGGCTTTGTAGCGCTCTGCTGCTACGCTGTGCTTGTCTGTTGCTGAAGCCTTTAAAAGGCAAATGTACCGCAGGCGTTCCCCCGGGTATAGTCACAAGCATTGTAGCTGTCGCTGTCTTCCTCTTTCCACCCCCCTACCCCTACTCTTCTTCCACCTCTTCTCCCCTCCCCTCGTTCACATGCATAAATAGATCAGGGAATACATAAATCAAAATAAAGATGACAGCAGGAGCGATTTAGAGACGGAAGAATCGGCAATAAAACTCCATCAAAGTGTCGTTTGAGAGCAGCCGTGCAGGCCCGGGGGCTGCTGAGCACCAATCAGAGGAGGCACAAAGCCAATCCCAGGTAGGATGGCAGCAGGAAGGCCTGTCGTCATGACAACCCACCACACAGCCTACGCATGTGTACAGTGATAGCAGGAAGGGTTTTATGTAGGAGGGAAGGGGAGCGTTTTGGATAAGTGGAGGCTGCTCATACACACACAGGAATAGGTGGCAGAATAACAACAAAGAAGCAGACCCCATCCCCATGATCAGGTTGCAGTGTTTCCCCTAGGGTGTGTGTGTGTGTGTGTGTGTGTGTGTGTGTGTGTGTGTGTGTGTATATATATATATAAGATTTTTAAGAAATCATCAATGCTGAATTATATGAACATTTTAAGTATTAAATAGATAATTTCCACCATTCTGATGAATTTTTCGACACCAGTGTACGGTGGGAATGTTTTTATTCATGTAAACCGAAACACCCAATTCAGGTTGCCAGTGACAATTCAAAATATATAAATATAACAGAATATAATGCAGCGCAGATCTGAGGCATTCTGTGTTGCTTTCAGATGTTTCTCCTATAAATCAACTTTTCTCATTTAATGTCATCCCTGCTTAGTCGGCAGACATGAAGGCATGATTTAGTAAAGTAACTTTACTAATAATCAGTCTTTAAATGTGATTGTGGCACCTTTTCACCTCAATGATAAATTCATTTAGAATCATTCATTCAGAATCTTTCCTACATATGGGTTCTCTGACATGTCGAGAAAAAAGTCATAATATTATGAGACTAACTTCATTTAATGAAAATTCATAATAATTTTTAAGTCTACCTGCCCTATACTCTGATGTGCATTATGTTATTGCTCCGCTCGTAGTATCCCCCTTCAGACCGCTTGGAAACCGAAACCAACAGACAACACTTGTGATCAGATGGAAATCTCACCACATATCCGCACACAATTTCATTTCAGCAGCTTCAGTAAAGTGCAGCTCACAGTCCCAAACAGAGTAAATTTGCGCCTCAGTTTTGAGATGTTTATATTGCAAAAGTCTACCAAATACGTTATTACTCACAAGCTGGCTGTGACTCACAGCACGGTGGCGGGTTCACTTCATTACTATTACTGTGTAGGCCGGAGTTGCATTAGCGGAGCAGAGTTGATTTGCTCTGTCAGTCAATGTTATGTTATACATTTGTTTTCCACTGCTTGTGAATATTGATGTGTGGCATGAGAGCATGTGAAAAATGTCAATTGGGTGAGTCATGCAAGACATCTTTTCACCTGAGGAGAAATATCATCACATTTTAATCCCGTCACACCCCTATTGGAATGTGGTCCATATCGAGATGTAGATACAGTGTCAACTGAAAAAGGAGTTAGCCTTTAGACGATCACTACAGGGTCAACAATTAATGCTGTTGCTTTCCAGTAAAACCCTTTCAGTGGTTCACCTTTTCTTTAGAGTACATATATTTACTCAGTATTCAGTGTATTTTTAAGAAACATTCTTATGCCTATGAAGTAATGTTTTTGTTTTTAGCAGCAACAAGAACCGTTTGACAATCAAACGGTCAGAATTCAGAGGAACCGGCAGTTAGCATCATCTACGATGGCTATGTGAATCCACGACAGAGCATGACATATAGTACAATTATACAATTATTATACAAGTTACATTCCTTTATTGCCAACTCATCTCTGGCAGGTGTGGTGCAGACACATCACAACACTGTTATTTAAAAAAATAATTACAGCATGATTTGAGATTGTTAAACGTTTTTACTTTAATGTACTGCAGTCATTTCAAAGAAGTATAATTTCACATGAGGCCATCGCTTCCTTGTCTTCATTCAATTTCATAAGAAACCTGAAAGCAAACAAGGACCATCACACAACCAAGACTGAAGTTTACTCCACCTAACGCTGCAGCTACTGCAATAATTATAGCAGAAGCACAATACTGTGTGTATGAGTAATCCCACATTATTGGCCCTGTGTAACACCGTGTTCAGTCTGCCAGTTAAGTCTAACAGCGATCAAGCTACAGCCAGCACTCGCTGTAATCGAGCTGTCATTCCTGCAGATGGCTGAGAAGAACATCCCAGCATAAATATACACACACACTATCAAACAGGTTTCAGACTTATCCTAAATCTGAAACCATCCACCGTGTGCCTGTGCATATCTTTATTTGATCTCTTGAGTCTTATCCAGTCCTCGCATCGGATAACGCCTCCTGACGAATGGCAAGTCGTAACTGGCTGCTTCAATCAAAGGCATCGAGGGGAAGTCCCCCCCCCCCCCCCCCCCCTTGTCTTTTTCATTTCGCGATCAGGGTGACTTGTTGACGTGTCCTCCTTTGTCCTGTCGCCCCGCGTGACATCAGCACTGACATGATTACAGCTAATGGTCACAGGGACTGGGTCACAGGAAACGCTCCAACACTATATTTAGACTTTTTACTTCACTGCCTCTTCTCTGATTTAGAAAGCTGACATTTTAGCACACCACGTCCCTGGCGTTCAGAATGAGTTTGACCTCCCCCTGTCAATCGACACCTTGTCAAGCTCGGTGAAAACTGCCGCTGACTAGTAAAGGCGAGGACGACAATTGCCATAACGGTGAAGATAGAGATGGTAATGGTAACTGAGTTGATGACAGCGGAGGTGGCGCTGATGAGGATGAAGGTGGAGGCAGTGATGTGGGTTGAAGTGATGATGAAAGTGATGACAGTGCCGTTGGTGAGAGTGGAGGTAATGATGATGAAGGGCGTAGAAGTCACCTGGTGTCAGCACTTTAGAAGGAAGACTGTCGCGCTGACTAACAAGGTCTGATTCGGCGCCCCTCTCTTCTCCCTCTATCCCCAGTTTGAAGCTTGAGTGTGACAAGTTGGCCAGTGAGAAGTCAGAGATGCAGCGCCACTATATCATGGTGAGTGAAGGGGTGTGTGTGTGTGTGTGTGTGTGTGTGTGTGTGTGTGTGAGCGCGCGTGCATGCGCACGTATTGTTATGGTTTGTATATCCTTAAATGTAATTTTGCCACAATATGTTTGACTAATGTAATATTTGATTCCAACATAAACTCCCTTTTAGTTGTAGTAAACACATTTCAGATGTTGATGTTTATATGCAATGATTTACTGTTGTTTTTTTTTGTTTGTTTTCATCCTCTGTTAATTAATACTCTTGCTTTCCTCCCCCATCACCTTCCATTTACAGTGTGTTTCTCTTTGTTCTCCCATGTGCCTTTTCTTGCTTATTTAAACAATTTCTCTCTTAACAGGTAATTGTGATTTATTTCAACTTGGATCCGTTTTGTATAGCTTTGGTCACCTTGTTCTGTGTACTCGCACAAAATTGTACAGAACAAGAAAATTGCTGAAATGTAGTGACACTGTTAAACACAAGTCAGACTGGGCAGGAAACACAAGCTCAGAGATCAGACAGTCATGCGTGGCTGAAACATATTCAAACCGTTAACCAATAGGGATGGGAATCTCACAATTCAATTTGTATTCTCGGCGTCACCATTCAATACACAATCAATCAATTCTCAATTCAAAATCAGGTATTGATTCTTGTTTAAGTGACAAAGTCCTCTAAACGTCCTAGGAATGATGACTCAGGAGCAAAGAAGGAAGTCAGGTGATGTTATTATAGAGGCAAAGTCTGCAGAAGGAAGAGGTTGAGGTGGATGGGTGGGCGAAGACTGGTTGTTAACCGTTTCCTAATTACAATCAGTGTTGGTTTCTTTTAACCATGACAACAATCGTTCCCTACCCTTAACCAACTTGTACTTAAAGCATCAGTTGGTCTCATTGTCGTCATTCCTCTTTGCTTCTCGTCTTTACGAGCGCCATGGCATCAAACACAATAAGCTCACAGCTGCATGTGGAGCCGGGACGTGATCATACATGTGTTTTGCACTATACACTGTTGTTTGCAAAGGAGGGATAGGCAGTTCCTTCATTGCTGGTGGTTGTCTCAGCCACTGTGTTTGCAAAACTTCTGAAGACGCTCGCTGAGTATTTTGAGCTTGACTGAATGAGAGCATGCGCGAGGAGGGGGGCTGCACAATGTGTGCACGAGCAATGATTGACACTGCGTTAGAGACTGCTCCTGGCTCTGATTGGTCTTTTTGATCCACGAATGGTGACCTGCTAATGGCATTAGGAGCAGCAGAAGGAGGAACCAGATTTTTTTTTTTTTCACAGATTATCTCTCATGTCAGGATATAGTGACATTTTCAGCAAATATGACCAAATTCCCTACTGCAGCCTTAAACCTGACTAAACCTTAACAATAGATCTGATCATAATGGTATTGGTTTTGGAATGCGCTCACAAATACGGTCATTCTGTTAACAGAGGCAGTGTTTGTCAAAAAAGAGTTAATGCGCTAAATGGGAGATGGAAACACTTCTGCTGAATAAGTTCTGACGTAGTGAACTTGGAACTCACGTCTGATCAGCTGTTTATTGCCGGATATTCCCATAATCTGCGGAGCAGCTGGTAGCAGTTTGGCCGCTTAAAACAAATTCCTGAGGATCTGTCTCCATTTTTCTAAGATCAATGACCCTCAGTTCCATGCGACTGGTTTTGTTTCTGGTTTGGAACCCATACGTCTTGGTTATTACAGCCATGTGTAACGTCAACTACTGACGGAACTACGCTTGCTGTAGCCTGGTTTATTCACTCCAAACCAGCTGATGGAAACGCACATATTTCGCATTTACTTTTTTTTTCAAGAATCCGCTCAAAATTCGCATTACAATTGGATGGAAACATGTCTAATGTCAGAGGCAGTTACAAATGATGTGTTTTGTCGTTTGATTCGGAGGACTTGCTGGTGAAACCCGTTTTTCATTCTGTCAATACAGCAGGTAGAAAATATAATGTAATAAACGTTACGTGTAAGAACTGATTTTTGAAATGTGTGAATTTATTCAGAATTGCTGAAGATGAGAATACCCCCCAGCTAAAGCTACAAGACCACAAGACCATAGTTCAAATAAATTGGAATTGTCCTTGGTTATTCACTTCCTTTGTGTTTCTGGAGGAACTATATGTGTTATTGCTCTCTCTCCCCAACCCCCTTCATTTCCTCTTTCGCCCATCTCTCTCTGTCACACACACACACAAACACACACACACACACACACACACACACACACCCTCTCACCCTCTCTCTGCTCCACCTCAGGGCTAATCTCATTGTTGCTGGCCGGGGCTGTGTAGCCGTCTGATGTTTTGCCTCTAATTGATCCTCTGACTGGCTTTAATCTCATCTAATCTGTGCCACCGCACTGCTCCCTCCACCATCAGCCAGCCAGCAGGCACACAAATATACACACCCTCGCATACACACTTCCTCTCTGTGCATTTCAGGCAGGCGTGAGTAATCACTCACACACACTCAGCTGGATGGCAGCCACGCACATACACATAGACACATATGTCCTGACAGAAAAGCACAATCATGCAAACAGATGTAATGAAGAAAATTATTTTTGATATTCAGAAATTTCCAAAGAAAAATAGCTGTGATAGTTGGGTAAATGTCCAGCAGGATGTGTGGTAGCCAACAAACTGATATTATCGTCGTAAATTAAGGAAAGGAAGATTTTCATTATGGTTAGGTTAGCTAGCTTTCAGGTGTGTGTGCCAAAACATCAAACATTGACAGAAACCAGACAAAGCTGTATACGTGCAAAGAGTAATATTAAAGGTCAATGAGAAGTTCAGCTCTGTCAGTCAGTCTGTATTCTGTTCTGTTCTTAACCCCTCAAATGTCGTAGCACCACCTCAACATGCATGCATTATAAGCCATTAGCTTTTTCCATCAGCCTGCTCCATGTTGTCTTCCCTATTAGCAAACATTACTGGCACAGGAAAACTCAAAGCAGTCCAGGAAGACCAATTGCACATCATGTTGAGTATGTAGTGTAGTAGTATTTTATTGTAGTGTAGTAGTATTTTTGAGAGGCGCTACATAAGGTATAGGTCACTTTATATTTTAAATTCAGACACCCGTTCAAATGAGGGGGAAATTAAATATATGACATAATGTCCAAATAAAAAAGCGCAATAGTTCATGCTACATATTCCAGTGGGGTGTGTTTGTAAACCGCGAGGGCTGCACGATTAATCTAATTGCAATCGCAGTGTCGTCATGTGCAATTACATAACAGCAAAAAGTGTGCAATTTAATAAAACAGAAAAGGTTTGTTGTGTGAGCTCTCTTCTGTGTGCGCTGCAGTCTGCTCATTATCTCCACCCACACTGGGCTCTGGCATGTGCCCCTAAACAGATAAGCCTACATACAATCAGAAAAATTATTTATGAGCATTCTGCAAGTAACTTTTAAGACGAAAATCTACTGTAACCTCCCTCCCCGCCCCGCCGCGCCGCTAATCGTTTGAAACATAGTCAGACTCGCCACCGGAGCACCGAGAGAAATGCCGGTGCGCCGCTCAGAGACAGAGAGGAGCCTTCAGCACCTAAAGCGGTAAGAAGGAAGAAAACTGGGCAAAGATAACGAAGGTTTGGGTTTGACTCGCTGCCATTTAAAGTTAGCTGTATCTGTGCCTTTTGTTGTTCAACATATTCAACTTTTCACAGAGCTGACGTGCTTGTCAGTCACTTTTTGTCAACCGACCAATCACATGGGGAGGAACATTTAAAAAACACACTACAGCAAATTATTAAATGTTGAACAATATGATTATTGACCAGTTGCTACTTAGCATTAACAAATTAGAGACCAATGTAGAACCTTATGCTCTACATAGTATTTAATGAATAAAAACAACCCACAAAAATGAAAGTAGTTTAAAATGAAATTATAATGAATGTAGTATTTAATATATTATTGTCATTAGTGGTAGGGCTGTCCCCGACTAAGGATTTACATTCATGAAGATATTGCCACATTAATATCCACATTGTGTGACATGACCATCAGTCATTTAGCTTCCCCATATCGCCAAAATGGAACGATCCTTGTGTTGTTGCGAAGCTTCGACTGTGAGATTGACAGTCGAATCAGGCTCTGCCCATCGACTTTTCGACTATTTGGGGTCAGCCCTAACTAGCAGTATACTATTAACTAAACATTATACTCTTTATTTAATACACTCATGTATAGTCCCTCCTCCAGGTTGTGGATAGGGACTCTGCAGTAGACAGATGTACATTGAGCCAGTATTTTGTGCATTTTTCTTGATAATTAAGCAAGTGAACTCATAGTACCGTTTGTTCCATTATAATTGAATCGCAAGCGCAAATTGCAATATTGTCCACAATAATCGCAATATGACTTTTTCTCCAAATTGTGCAGCCTTATAAACTGCACTATAAATCTGATCTATTACACGCCCTGTTTTTGAACTGGCCAGTTGTTCTTTTAACATAAACTGCAATAAACAAGAGAGCTGTGCTAAACAAATAATCATGTGTAGAAGCATTTTGGATTTGAAACCACAGATAATTGTGGATCGAAGTGACGCTGTTTTCTGCCTTTTTAAAAACGCAACTGCCTGCAGCAATAGTTACCATGGCAATAAATATGAAGTCACCTGTTAGGGTGTCACTCAGTGAGGGAGGGAAGGCGACAAAGACTGGAGCGACGTCACTTCTGCAGCGTATTCTACGATCAGGCTATGTGCATTGCAATTTTTTGCATTTTTAAGTAACAGCCCTAATTGGGAATGTGATACTTTTACGCAGCAGTATAAAACGGATTTTATTCTAATTGTAATCAAATGTGCATGGACGCTTCCTTTAGCTTGGCTCTGATTTGTAATGTTTATTCATTTAGCTGATGCTTTTATCCAAAGTGACTTACAATTGCTACAGTATACATGTCAGAGGTTGCACACCTCTGGAGCAACTAGGGGTTAAGTGTCTTGCTCAGGGACACATTAGTGGATGGGTCACAGTGGGGGATTGAACCCAGGTCTCTCACACCAAAGGCATGTGTCTTATCTTATCCGTTGCGCTATCGCCACGCCGTAATGTTATTTATATTTTCTTCCAAAGGGATTTTCCTCAGTCGAAACTGTCTTTAGATTCAGCTCAAAATGTTGCGAAAATTTCACAATGAATGTGAAATTGCTTATCCCTCCTCCTTCACTCTCACACACACACACACACAGACACACACAGACACACACTCTCAGACAGACACATGCACACGCATACCATGCACATATACGTGCAGACTTTCAATTGCACTTCCACTCCATCAGTGGCAGGCCCAGCCTTGTATCCCCACAACGACCCCCTCCATCACCACCACCCCACTCCTCCTCTAATAGCATATCAGGTTGCCCCACTCCCCCAGCCAGCGGCAGCACCTCCGTTTCCCCAGTACTGTAATTACTTCAGGGAGCTTCTGCGTGGGCCCAAGCAACTAAACTGTGTGTGTGTGTGTGTGTGTGTGTGTGCGCGCGCACGCACGCACATGCATTCACATACAAAGTTAGTGTCAGTGTGAGATTGAACAGAAAACAACAATGGTGCATGCGTGAAAGAAAATGAGTTACAGAAATGCGTGTGTATGTGTGTGTGAGAGATCTGCGTGTTGTTTGTTTTCCAGTGACAGAGCCAGTCCCCCTGCAGACAGAGTGGGTGATTAACAGGGTTGACGCCTAGAGGGTGGCCCTCTCATTAATACTGAACTCACACTCACACTCACACAACAGAGGCTCTTTCTCTACTGTGTCTCCTTTCTCTCTCTATTTGTAGCTGTGTGTCTTCTCTTCTCTTTGTGTGTGTACATGCAGGCGCGTTTGTGAGTGGGTATATGTTTGTGGAAAGTAACATTTTGGGATCTTGGAAGTCATTAAGATGTTAAATAAATGTCATGTTGGGTTGAGGTTCCACTTTGTGTCGAATGATAATTTTGTTTGTCTTCAGCTTTTATTACATAAACTTCATGATTGAAAATCTTCAAAACTGTGCCACATATTTATAGTTCTATATAAAACATATTAGTGGAGCAAGAGAGAGAGAGATAAATGGTAGTAAATAGTGTATAATGTAAGAATATAAGTCTTAGCATTGAGCTTCTATGTAGAACATTTTCTACAATACTATTTTCCTGTGTTGTTATAACATTTAGTTTTTGCCTCTTTTTGTCTTCCCGTCTCTTCCTGTCCAGTACTATGAGATGTCCTATGGGCTCAATATCGAGATGCACAAACAGGTGAGTCTATGTCTAATCTTTTTAGAAAGATCCCATCACCTAACGTATAAAAAAAAAAAATTATTTAGTTAACTTTCGATCAATAAACTGAATTGAAGGATCTCCGCAAGTATAAAACTAGAAAGGAGTCTATTTAAAGAGGTCTTTTTGCTTTTTTTTGCTTTTTCCCTCCTTTATTGAGGTATATATATTTTTTGTGCATGTAATAGGTTTACAAAGTGAAAAAGCCCAAAGTCCACCCCAAAAGGAGTTCCCATCTCCCACAGAAGAGATTGATGTGATGGAACTAGGGCTGTAGATAACGATTATTTTCAAGTCGATTAATCTAACGACTAATTTTGTGTGTTACTAGATTAACATACCAATTTATCCAAAATAAATATCAAAAACATGTCTAATCAATAAATCTACATTTTATTCAATCATCCTGGTGAAGCACATTAGAATAATGACAATAGCAGCATATCTTAAAATTAATCAAATTTCCTCTTCACTGATGTGTTGTGATAGTAATAGTAATAACAATAACAGACATTAATTAGGCTACTTAAAACTTTAATTGTTTCTGACATGGATTTATTTCAATACTTAGTAATGCAGTATGATAATCAAATGAATTTCTGCATCAGTGTGGGGCAAAGAAAACAACTGAAACAATTGACAGACTGTGCAGACTGTCACAGATCGTCTGTAATGTTAGATTCATCTGTTTTGTCGCTCATTTGTGGCTGTTAAATAAACAGAAAATATGAAACGACCGAATGTTAGGTGACACGCGGTGTAACGTTACGTTACCATGACAGCAGCGGGGCAGAATTTACTTTTAACATGAAGGCAATGAAAAAACACTTAAAGAAAATACATTTTAACGGACTACATGTCCTCGTGCTGATAATGTGCCGTGCTTGTGTGGAAACAAAAAGTAAACAGGATTTGCGGTGCTGCCATCAGTGTTCCTGGATACAGCAGTTGACAGTGGTTGAAGGCGCGACCTTTTAGCTGGAGCTTGTCCGGGGTAATCCCACTAACACCGGATGCAGCGACACTTCGATGCATGTAATATAAATATATATATATATACACATTTATTTATTTCGTTTTTCTTCACAAATCTGCATCATTTATAATGATTGTGTAGAATTGTAACATTTTGTGAAAAAACTGAGCTGAGCTTGGCATCCTAAAAGACTCATCCAAAGACTAAAACTAAACTCAAAGTAAGCATTTTGAACAAATAAAAACTAAACTAGCAAACCCACGTTAAAAACTGATTCAAACTAAACTGAAATTTAAAACAAAAAGTCAAAATGAAATGAATATAAAAACTATAATAACCTTGATATGGAGCTACGGCAGAAAAATGAACTCTGCGAACTTCAGGTGTCTGTTGCTGTAGTTGAAAAACAGCTGTTGGTCTGTTATGCGTGTACCAGTGTAGACTTTGAAAAAAGGTAAATGATCCGTATTGCACCAGTATGCCGGAGACTAATTTCTGTATGCATTTTGTACGCAGCATGTGAAGTATTCCAGCTGAAAGCCCCTAGTGAGCAAATGACTGGCTCACAAGATGAAGCTGTAAATGATTTCCACCAGTTAGAGTAGCAAAGTAATCAAAGGTACAGGTGACGGTAAATTCCTATTTGAATGTTTTCTACAAACACAGGAGTCTCCTTGGTCACACACTGGGGTTATGTTATGACCATCAGAAATATTTTCTTTCAAATGGTTTCTGCTATGGCAAATGCTATGGAGAAACCAGCAAGAGCCGCAAATAAGAGCTACAGCAATTTCACAACAATTTGTCGTCGCAATCAGGAACAGAGCACCACGCCAAATTTATTGAATTCATCCAACATTAATTTAGAATACAGAAGTGGGGGCGGGTTGTTTGTTTGCTTGTTTTTACTTCAGTCCGTCATTAGTGGTTCAGACATCATTTCAATTATAATCATTTGGTGTTTGGATGAAGTTTCAACGTTTACCAGTCCTTCATCACAGTCTGTCATCGCAGCTGTTTGACGATTCACCCGGCTTTCATGGTCATCAAGACCTTAGAGGTGTTTCACCTGCCAGTCACTTCTTCTACAACATAAATACAAAAAAACAAGAAAAGGAAGACTTTTACTTTCAGATCCCATGAACGTCCAAAATAACTCCTCACACTTTGTTACTCTGTTGATGCAAACACAGCTGTGCATTCCCAACCCCACTCCCCCGCTGCACACCTGCAGCTCGCTGATTGGCAGGTGTGAATTGTAGAGATAATCTACCATCACTTTGGGAGCGTTGAGACATTTGAGTGATGTCACCTGAGGCTCTGTTTAAAATGCAGACGCCGAGGGGTTAGCTTTTCTGCCGTTGCCAAATCAGTTTTAGTTCACTCTGTACACTCCCATGGTGCTAGTGAGCATGTGTATAAGGAAGTCTTTATAAAATGTAGTCTCAGCACAGCTTTGACCGCATGGTCATGTCACACAATGTGGATATTAATGTGGCAGTATCTTCTGCGACAGCTTCATCATTTATCAGCAGATCAGCAAAATCATAGGAGCAGCTTCCCTAAATCTTGAAAATCAGTGAAGACTGTAAGAATCAGTTGGCAATTTTGAAAAAGAAAAGGCAGGCAGGGGTGAGAAGCCGATATCCATACATCAGTTTGTGTGGCTGAAGGTGGGGGAGTAATTTATGCTCAGCCTGTAGGAAGGAGAGAGCGATGGGCCTCTGAAGGGCCAGTCCTTATCAGTGACCTCGTCTGGCGCTGCCCGTCCACACACACACACAAACACACACACACACACACTGTCTTATGATTGATGTCGCACACTGACAGCCATATTGGGAGAACGGAGTGTGCTTTGACAAATGGACACACACACACACACACACACACACACACACACACACACACAGAAGTAGCACCTTCCATGATTTAAAACCTTCAAATATATCCACCCACACAAACACTGAAGTAGGAAGCACAAGACAGGCACTGTGACGCATGCAAGGAAAACATACAAACACACATGCAGTCTGTTACAGGCAAGCACACACACACAAACACTGAGCCTGATGTGTGCAGTTCATCACAGCCTTTTCCTTTATCTGACAGGGATGAAATTCACAGTCGTGTGTGTGTGTGTGTGTGTCAAGTAGTCTGTTTGTATGATTGTATTTGATCATGTGTTTTATTATTTAAAAAATTTGTATGCGTTTGTTGAGACTACCTGCACGTGTGTGTGTGTGTGTGTGTGTGTGTGTGTGCGTGCACATATCCCCCTCTGTTAGCACATATGCTTGTGTGTGAGTGTTAGTGGCGCATGTTCATAAGCACTTTTTTGTTTCTGTTCATGCGTGCCCCTGTTTTGTGTGTGTGTGTGTGTGTGTGTGTGTGTGTGTGTGTGTGTGTGAGTGCGTGCATGCGTGCTTGCTTGCTTTGTGCACAATGTGAGTGGGTGCAGAGAATCTCTAGTTCCATTAGAGGGTTGAAATTGAAGGGGATGTGTGGAAACGAGTGTCGAGGAGCATTCATGTCTAGGCCTATTGTGCAAAGCTAGTCCCCCCCCCCCCCCTCCTCTGCTGCTGCTCCTCCCTCTCCACCTCTGTCTCTATTTCCCTCTCTTTCTTTCTCTCTCGCACTCTCTCACATTCAATAGCTCCCTCTTGATCACTCTGTCCTACCCAATTCAAAAAAATCCTCTCCACTCTGTCTGCTCCCTCTCTCTCTGTTTTGTCTTGGTGAGTAGAAGCAAGGTTGAGTTGTGGATTGAACTGGGAATATGTTGAATGAAGCTGTATTGTTGCTGGTTCCTCTTTGTCTTTCTGTTGTTCTGTTTTCTCATCCTGTTTTTCTTCCTCTACATTTAGTCTTGAATATGTGTCCCGCCTGACAACATCACTGTTGCATCTGTATGTTTTTTTTTTACATAGTCTATAGCAGTGTTTCCCACGGGATTTCAAAAGATTATATGTATGCCCCCCGGAAGAAAACTTTGTACATTTTAAAGTTAAATGCATTAATTTGGTGCAAAATTAAGAGTCTATCTATGAAGAACTTTGCAGTCGTGTAAACAATGTTGCGCTATAGTAAATTATTTAATCATAAACCCATTGTAAAGCTATAAATGGTGATGAAACAACAACAAAAGTCAACAAATTTATTTCATGTTTTTCTATCAACCCTAGATCAAAGAATAGAAATAGAATAAGTCATTTTCTTAACATTTTATTGTTGTTTTTTTACTTTTAAAAACACATGTAATATATATATATATAAAAAAAATGTATACTTATACTTATTTCCATACTGTATAGACACCTTATTTTGGAAACTGGACGTTGTCACATGTGTATCCTCACGCGAAATTCATCAAGTCCGACCCAAATTTGATAAATGTTGTATGTGGTTCTTGTATCGCGTAACATGAAGACTTCCTAGCCTCTTTTCAGGTAGGCCTTTCATACTGCAATACTTGTCTTTGTAAAGAGAGAAACTGACAGCATAAAGTCGCTAACCTGCCTGTCAGCTCACACTAGTAAATTTAAGTGGATTTACCATAAAGGCTTTAATACGTGTGCACTCCAAATTTAGGCGCAGCTAGCTTCATTGCCTTCTCACAAACGAGTGACAGAAACAGACCTTAGTTACCTCAAAAGAAAAGTAGTTCTCTCGAGTCGGATGCCTGAGCATGCGAGCTTACAGCAGCGCAGAGCAGCTCCCACAAAACAGTTGTGTTAGAGGTCTGTAATGTTATTATGAGATGCAAAAAATATTTTCGGTTCATTTTGAAACTATGGCGGAGCAAATTAGACTGTAGTGGCCGCCATGGTCTCATTAATTAATGGGAAACACTGTATAGTGTAGGCTCTTTCATTTTATGCCTAAATCATGTATAATCATCTTGTCAAGCAATCGTTGCCATCAGTCATACTTCATTACAAGTGAAGTCCTGCGCTCAGAATTTTACTTGAGTAAAAGCACAAAGTATTATCCAAACAATATACCAAAAGTAAAAGTAATCATGATGCAAAGTGGATCCTAACTAATGTGTTCACTTGTAAGCAGAAATGTAATCTTGTAGGTTGAGTTGGAGCTTATTTGCATTACTTTAAATACAGTTTGGTAGTTTCATCTATATTAATGCATCATAGTTTTTTTAAGCTCATGACATGTTTTCACATGTAAAATTTACTGGTTAATTAGCTCTAGTCACTATAAGTGTTTGATAAATGTAGTGCAGTAAAAAGTACACTATTTTCTGAAATGTAGTGCAGTATAAGTATAAAGGAGCACAAAAGTTAAATACTCAATTAAAAGTACAAGTAATTTGACTTGAGAACAGTACTTGGGTAAATGTATTTACCCAAATCTAATTTCTACTGATGTTTGTCAGATTTTATGACTGGGCACAATGTGCGTGTGATTCATATTTATTTGTGACATTTTAAAGTGCAAGGAAGGTGCTTCTTTTTTCTAAGGTTTTCAATGTTTTTGAGGTATTTAGAAAATGATGAACAAGTATCATGTCCTGTTATATTCCTGGCAGGAAGCAGTAATAGGAGACACTCAAATAGTCTGAGGAAGTCTGTGAAATGTTCAGTTTGTTTAGGCTGCCTTCCATGCTTCCTTGAAACACATTTAAATCAACTTGAACACATTTTTGTCTCTGTGTTTGCTTTTCCTTTTAACGTCGACATTTTCGAGATAAAGCTTATTTAAATTGGCAAAAAGCAGCAAAGACATCTCCAACAGTAATGAATTCTATCGGTTGTAAATCCTTGAAGTATTTGTCCAGTGTCCTAGCCCAGTTTTATATTACGCAAGTTTTATTTGCACACACATTGCTGTTGTCAGTGAATGTGCGCTCCTGTAGCACTTGAATGCTAGAAAGAAGCAAGAGTAAAATGTATAGAGGACAAAAGAGAGAAAGAAGCGTTCAGATAGCAAAAGCTGAGGGACAGACACAGAGAGGAGGATAATAGAGAGCACAGATAAAAAGACGAGACAGAAGCTTAGTTGGAGGAAAAAAGAGAGAGAAGGCATAAAGGGCAATGAAAAAGAGGGAGCCATAGTCCCCGTAGAGACATTTTAGATATGTCAGGGAGTGTGTATGTGTAATGATGAGCGGATAGGAGTGTAGCGCTTGATGGGGAGCTGTGCTCTGCATGCCTAATGACTGGTAGAAGGGCCCCTCTCTCCTCATCATGCCACAAATTAGGCCCTAACACAATTACTGCTGCTTTGCATATCTCAGATGGATTGGATGATTACCAACTAAATGTGATAATAGACCTGTATGTGAGAAAGATAGGGAATGTTTTTGAATGGTTTTGGTCTTTTCCATGAAAACCAGCAACGAATTTATCCACTTATAACACATTTCAGGGCTCCAGACTAACTTTTTTTACTTGGAGCACTGTAGCCCCTAACTGAAAATTTTAGGGGTTCAGGCAGAATGTTTAGGTGTGTGCACACATTAAATTGACCTGCAATGCTTATTTCACATTTTCCCCATTTGAACTGTATTACTGATACATAATTTGGTAATGAATAATAAAAACAGAAACTACAATGTGCTGTTCTATTTTAGTCCACAGTCGCATTTAAATTGAATGGTCTTTAACAAATCCAGTTGCCTTACCAAACTTAGTTTTCCCTGCATGTTGTTGACCACCTCTAGTGCAGTAGATACAGCTCATTATGGCGGTGTTTTTGCTAATCTTAACCATGTAAACTCCCTCAGCCAGGGGTGGACTGGTACAATTATTCAGGCTGAGAACTCCATCCCGGCCCACTCTGTTCATGCAAAACACCAGAATTCATGATTTTGTAGACTAACCCCATTTTTTGATGTAACGAGTAACAAACCAGGCATAGATTTGGCCACTATGTTCATCTGGGAAGAAAGTTATTCACATTACAAAATACAGACATTTGGGATTGACCATTAAAGTAGCCTAACTGAACAGAGTTTTCAAGGTGCAGTTTTTCAAAATCTCCCCAAGAAATAGCCAACACCAGTCATAGCACATACAAATGTACAGGGCTAGACACAAAAACAATTAGCCTACACTTAGAGATAATGAGATGTACTGAGTTTGCTCAAATGTTCAAATGATGATCTTTATATTCAACAATCAAACATATCAAAAGTATCAAAAAATGTCACACACACACACCTTCTCTGAGTCTGAACATAAGCTACAACAATGAAAGTAAGTAGCACTATAACGCAAAAGTCCAAAAAGCTCTCCTATAGCCTGCAACAAAATGCAAGCCGCACAAAAATAAAATCTTTCAATAATTTCTAGAAAATATATTTGTTTTCTAGCCTATAAAGAAAATACAGTTGTATTTTCATCCAGACACAACTTTGAGATTGGCAGAGATTCAGCAGTGCACAGAAGCCATTGCCATGGTTACTACCCACGGAGCAGTGTCTGTTCACACGAGGAGCGCATACATAGACTGTACCGTGGATCCAAGCAGGTAGGCGACGCGTCGTCTGAAAATGCACACAAATGCTAACACATGTGGCCAGTTGCATGGATGTTCTTAACATAGACTAATTAACGGTCGCCAACATATAATTGTCAAAGAAACAGAGAAAGAAAGACACACGGACACGCTCCTGCTTGCTTTATTATTTTAAAAAAGCTTGCTATATTATTGCCGCCTCTGATCAAGTTGATAATTAACAGCAGGCCAAAACGGCACTCAGGCCTCCGGGAAATCTCCCGTTGCAGACTTGCTCCCTCCTCTTTTTTCAACATTGGGGGGGGGGGAATGGAAGTCGCACATGTGCGAGTAGTTGAAAAAAATGCTTGCGCTGTATGGGGAAAAAATGGTCGCAAAATGCAACCATTTGGTCGCAGTTTGGAGCTCTGTGTTTTGTCTACATAGCCAGAGCCTGATATAGTTTATTCCTCCTTCCCTCCGTTGTTGTCCAGAAACTGTCAAAGTCCCAGCACACCCACAAAGCTGTTTTCAATTACTCTGATAAGACCTGTAATCAGCCTTTGTTGAAGTCGGGTGGAGCTATTATGGGAATTTTGTGATGTCACCATACTACTAGATACTGTAATCAATAGGCTTTTTTCACAGCAGTCATTTTGACTGGTGAGAGTAGGAAAAGCACAGGTATTACTAATAACATTAAAGATCACTCTGCTCTATTTAAGTGTCCCAGTAAAGGCCACGTTATACTTTTGTGTAAAGTCTGCTCACGTAGTGACACCGTAGTGAGCATTAATACTTGTGTTTGTGTCTGCATCGCTCTGCAATTACACGCCAAAATGCTAGTTGGCGGCGGGATTTCTATTTTCTACTGTGCAAGCGCTATGCTGGCACGGCCAGCGATAATGGTGCAACAGATCTGACAAGAGAGGGAGGGGGCCGTCAATCAAGCACCGGCTACACACACCCCACTGCTGAGATGAGATCTCAAAAGGCATCATAAGTGGAAACACCTGTATGTATGTGTGTGTGTGTGTGTGTGTGTGTGAGAGTGTGAACTAAGGGTGTGTAAAGACAAACCAGTGAGCTATACTGTTGCACTGGGGGTGTTCCTTTATTACAATGAATAAGGGCACCGTCCTGCTGCTATAAACACTCAACAGAGCACAAAATGTGTATTAATCAGCATGTGAAAATAGTCCCTCCACTCTTTGAGTAATGTTTGCCTGACAGTGCCCAGCTATTTAGAAACTATTTTTTTTTGGACATAAAACTATACATTTGTGACAAGTTTATATGGTTACAATCCTAAGTAAGAATGACTGGGCTGAATGCCACAGACAGGGTAGAGACGTTGGAAGGTATTGAGACTAACAAGCTGTTGGTTTAAGTCTTTTCATGGGATCTGTTGCCAATAACATAAATTTAGACTAACGCCAGTATTATGCTTTAGCTAATAAACCCTCCTTCCACAGGCTGAGATAGTGAAGAGATTGAACGGGATCTGCGCACAAGTCCTCCCCTACCTGTCTCAGGAGGTAAGCGCGCACACGCACACACAGAGACACAAAGACGTCACTGACCCTCAGCCCTATTCCTTACATCCTGGTATGAGATCACCCTCATTCCCGCCTCATTACTTCTCTATCTCCGTGACCCCTCGCTCAGCGTCCCTCCCTCCTCTTCTCTCCTCTCCACTTCCCTCCTCCCGTCATTCACATCACTCGCTTCCCGTATTCCTTTCCACCTTACTTTCGCTTTATTCCTCCCTCCCCCACTTTCCTCTGCCATATTCAGTCTATCCTTCCAGTTTTCCCTCACCCTCCCTGTTTGACCTCCTCCTACACTCCCATCCTTCCCTTCATCTCTCCCTCCTCCACCACTTTTCCTTTATACATGTGTGTGTTTGTGTGTGTGAGCGTAATAAATGGTTGTGTGATTCAGATAAGCCATGCTCTTATCTGCCAACCAGGCCGTTGACCTCCACCTATTACAGAACACCAGCCAACCATCCATTCACCAGTGTCACACAAGGTGTGTGTGTACGTGTGTGTACGTGTGTGTCTGGATGAAAAGCTGAATGGCCGGAGGGTGGGATGCATCACCACAGAGGGTTGTCAGGTTCTGTGTTGTGACAATTGATATTGATCTAACCTCTCCTCCCCTTGTTTCTGTCTCGCTTTTATTGTCTCGCTCACTTTCCTTCCCTCGTCTTCACCCCCCCACGCTCACCCCTCACCCACCGTCTCCAGCACCAGCAGCAGGTCCTGGCGGCCATAGAGAGGGCCAAGCAGGTCACCCCCCCAGAGATGAACTCCATCATAAGGGTATGATGTTCCAGCCGCAGCCCCAACTGAGAGTCTTATGATGCAATTATTGATAATTACCACTTATTCTATCTTATCTTAAATAACCTTTATTTAATGGCCTTTTCTATTTATTTATGTGTTCTTATTTATAATTTGGCTATATATTTTAACGTATATGTCTGTTTTGAAATGAGATGGATAAATTAAGTTTACTCTGCTTCTTTGGCTGTAAGCATTAATTTAGTGGTTAATAAAAAGGTAATCTTTTTAAATATATAAATAATTTGAAAAGAACTCGCGTCATAATGACATCATCATGGTTAATTTCTCAGATTTTGGAAAGCTCCTCTAGACCCACAGAAGATATCAGAAAATCAGTGTACTGTGTCTTTAAATTTCATTGGTTTTGTTTTTTTTGTTGTTTTTTTTTTATCATTATCCTCGAGTGTGGAAGTAGTAAATACTCCCATCTACAGATACATGGGATCATAACCTCCACCCTGAGCACAATTTCGTTAATCGTAAGATTAGCTAGCTAGTTAAAATGCTAAATCAATATGGCATTAACCATCTAGCCGCAATCCTTCATCTCTGTGGCTCTAACATTAGCCAGCTACACTTTATCATTATAAGTCTTGTACTAGCTAGCTTAGCTACTTCATCATTTATGAGAGGTTTAGTATTAGCTGACCGAGCCACTCCATCATTCTACTATGGGTCTAGTGTTAGCTAGCTTAACAACTCCATCACTGTGATGCATGTTTCAAAGAGGCGCCTTGCTTTTGTCTTTGTGACTACTGCTTCAGATACATGGGCTAATGGGGCCTGTTTTTTGAATTTGAATTGAAATCTTTATTTCAAACATGCAAGAGAAAGTATATAAAAAAAATAAAATAAAACAAGGACTGGGCCTGTTCTCTTCAGTACAGGGAGACACACAATTCATCCATCAATATCTTACTTTGGTAGCCGCTAATAGCATATTTTATATACCTGAAGGATATAGGGAATTTGAGCTCTGGTTCTGAATGGAAAGCAGCGCTGTTGACTTTGTGGGTGTAGCGTGTGGAAACTAAGGCTGTTAGACACTGTCAGTCAGGATTGTCAGAAAATCTGCCCACAGATGTGTCATCATGTTGAGTGTGTGTGAGCAATAGGGAGTGATGAAAATCCACAGGATTAACTATTTGTTGTCCTTTACATTAAAATGAAATGTACGTGTGTTTTATTTTGGACCATGTCTGTCCTCTGTCAGACAATTTTACCGCTTTTATACTGTGTTCTCCCCTCTCACTTGTTTTCTTGGTGTATATTGAAAATTGCATCTTCTATAAATAAGATGTGTGCTGCAGATTTTCCATCTCCTACTGAGCATGTATTTTAGCTATGATGTGTGCTATTGTGGCTGAGCTATTAGCACTGTGCCTCAGGGGTTATATATTAAACATCATTTGTGATGTATAATAGCTCTGTGCATTACAGATTTGCATTTCCCTCAGTGTTTTGCAGTGATTTGTGTGCTGGATTTATCCTGCTGTGTCTAAGTTGTGTCTGGTTGCCTTCCATGCAGCAGCAGCTCCAGGCTCACCAGCTGTCTCAGCTCCAGGGCCTGGCCCTGCCCATGACCCCTTTGCCGCTGGGACTGAGCCAGCCAACCCTCCCCGCCGTCACCACCTCCTCTGGTCTCTTCTCTCTCTCCTCCCTGCTGGCCTCCCAAGCCCAGCTGGCCAAGGAGGAAAAAGCGTCACGTGACGGAGTTGACAGCCACCGCGAGGAGGACGGAGACAAGTCTGATTAAATGGTGTCCCCCATTCAGCTCTGTTTTTATCCAGAGACCTGAATCCCCAGATCTGAGCCCCCTTTGTCCTACAGCCTCTCCCCTGGTCTCCCTCTCTCTGACCTTGGCTAACATGTTCAATCCCATCACCACAGCTCCATCTACAGACCCCTTACCAACTCCCATGAGCTTTGACACCTGCCCCTCATGTCAGACTAGCCCAGATTGCTTCATATTTACCATACTTGGGTTGTTTCTTTATCCCCCCACCTCATTACCACCATCAGAGAGTTTCTCTCTTCTGTGTCTTTTCTTCAGATAGTATCTTTTTTTTTCTTTTTTTTTAATGCATTTTATCAGGACTACTTTCTATTTCTGTTCCTCCCTCTCTCCCTGTCACTCTGTCTCTCAGTTCTTATTCCTGTTTAGTTTCTGTTTAGTTTTTATTCCCCCTCCGTGCCTCTCTTCCTCCCACTCTCGCCCACCTCTCGCCTCTGTTCAAAGCGGTTCCTTGTCATGCAGGACTGATCTGTGAGACTGAACTCTCAGTACTGTAGGTGTTCAAAACATGTTAAATGTTAAACAGGGAGTCTTTGGCAGGCAGTAAAACTTGTCAGACACAACACAGGATTCCTAGAAACTTAATTTTCCTAAGAAAGAGGTATCACCAGAGATCAACAGCGTTGATATTTCTGGGCAGTTCAGATTACAGGTATTCATTACTAGCAAAAAGTTGGCTTTGTTTTAAACGGTGGATTGTTTGAATCAGATCAGTGTTTACATAGTGCCCTCATGCCCCTGCTGAAGAGAGAAACCTCCCTAAAGTTACACACACTCCCAATCTAAAAACTGCTGCAGAATCGTTATGAAGGAGAAGACATCTGCATTCAACAAACTAGAGATGTTGTGTAAAATCCTGAATTTGTATGGAGAAAAGAAAAGCACCTTCTTAGAGCAAATTTACTGCTGAGAGCCGTCCGACTGGATAACGAACCAACCTTAGTAAATAATATCCCCTACTCCCGATCCTTCCCTGACCCTGTGCGGTACGTTAGATAAATCTGCCAAGCATCTTAACTGAAAGGCAAAGTTTCCATCAGTAGTTAAATGAACAGCAATGTTGCTTGACTCCTGCACCCTCCCATCACCTTATTAATCTTTCACGTGCACAAATATTCAAGCAGGCACAGAGGGGAGATCGAGTGTGCATGCTGTGTGTTTGACAGCAGAGGGCAGTGTGTGTCTTTGAGGAATCCTCTCCTCGGTGAGCTCAGGCCTGAGCAAAACAAGGGTTGGACAATGACAGAGTACAGGCTGTGTCACAAGGGGAATGGCTTATTTATCCACTCTGTGTGTACAAACTTAATATACAGAGACTAGACTGGTGACATTAATCTCTGCATGCGGTCGGTCCCAGTCCCTGTCATGATCCAGTTCTTGAGAAACAGTCTTAGGTTTATTTTAAGGAACGTCTCCACGTGAAACAAACACAACTGGACCTGTGCTTTTTTGATCGGTCTATAATTCAGATTTAAATACTGTACATTTTGATTCACTGTACATATACAGGTCTGTCACATATCAGACTTAACACCACATTGTACATACGATCTAACTCCATGATCTAACAAAATTAAATCAGTGCAGAACACACACATGAAGCACAAGCGTCCTCCACAGCTCTGATGAGTAAAAAACAAAAACAAACTCCCCCCTCAGGCTCTGCACACCTACTCAGCTGTTTTCAATTACCTTGTCTGAACAGGCCTCTAGTCAAGTGGAAGTTGGGGGAGACCATGCTGAGAATACTGTGTTCAAAATCTGTCCCCATCTGCTACCTGTGGCACTCGATATACCCTCTGCCTTTTTATTTGAGTATCAGAACTCCGTAATGTTTGAGTGCCCTCAACCTTCCCACATCCAGGGCGTCCTGGTGGCTCCGTGGTTAAAACGCCTCCAGGTTGTTGCAGGCTAATGCCCCATTTAATTCCTGGGGTTTAATTACTTCACAATGAACTTCGGCTGGTGTGAGCCGTTCATGTTCATTTGGCTTTCATGCACTTTTCTGTTATTAAGGGCCAAGTAAGATAAATCAGAGCTTTCAGAGTTTCCCGGTCCTAATTTCCGCTAGAAGTGTGTGGGAGATGGGAGAGAAGAGGTCTAACCAGGCAACATTAGTGAAAACACCTGTGTGGGTGGACTATGGGTGTTGGTTTAACGGGTCCAGCAGCAGCCACAATGGCCCCATTAAATGTCTTCTTTCTACAAACCTCAGCGCTCGGCCCTCAAAGATTATTTGATCAACTAGAAGCCGATGGCGATGGCCTGTGTTTGAGCGTTAATGTGAAGACAGCCTGTGTACGAAGTAATTTTATACAAACCCTACACACAGAAACACACACACACACACACACACACACACACACACACACACACACTTTCTTAACCTCCCCTCTCTGTTTTAATGGGTACTCTGAGTGATAAAGAGTTTCATTCTAAAATAAACAATCCTTGACCCTAATTTGGGAAATGAAACACTAAACTTTAAATCTCTGGCATGACAATGATAAAGCACATTTTAGCATTTAAGTCATTCAGAAAGCAAAAGGACAAAAATTGCATGTCACTGCATTCAGAATAAAACCATCATGCGCCTAAAAGTTGAGTTAACATGCTGTTGGTGGGATGACTCTTTCAGTGATACCAGTAATAGTGAGTTTACGTGAATACATAGACGAGGTGTGTATAAACGGCTGTACAGGTTTGGTGGTCGTTTATAAACTACAGTTTTGAAGTGCGTTCCCTTTCTTACTTCAACTAAAGCTTACATGCCATCACTGCTTGTGAATTAAGCATCGCCCTCCCATCTGTCCATATACTGTATGTATCTAGCTACATACTGTACTTGTCGTAGTGAAATGCAGAGCGTGTAGACAAAGCGACACACACACACACATACATCAATGCATGCATGTCTGCGGGGGAACAAAAATTGATTTCTTTCTGTTTGGTCCAAACTTTCTGTGATCGATGCACTTGTTTTGTTTTTTTTGCCTCTTTGTTTTGAAATATTAATCAATATGAACTAGAACGAGAATTGCAAAGCTGACGTTATAAACATACAAATGAAATTCTATGTATTTGTTAAAGTAGTTGGAGGTGCTCGCCTCTGTATACAGTTATACATAGAAAGCTTTATGTGTATATAGCTGCACCTTTTCTTGTCTGTCCTGGATGATTCTTGTGTTATTGTGTTACAAAACTGATGTGACACCAGGGGGGAAACTGCAGTACATTGACCTTTTGCCCTTTGACCCTTTTCTTCTTCTCTGACCCCCCCACCCCATCCCTTGCCACATACTACCTTACCAACTTTTTGCCCCCATAGCGTGAAGCATTGTAAGCGTTTTGAGCTTTGTAAAGGTCTTTTTTTAAATACTTATTTTGTGCATAATGTAAAACCTGAAAGTGTGTACTTTGGCAAAAAAATGTTTTGTGTCTGAAATCATAGCTTCATTGAAACAAAAAAAGAAACTATAAAAAAGTACAACAAACATTTACTATAAATAATATGAAATGTTCTGCAGTAAGGAAGGACTTCTGGTGCCTTACAAATAAAGTCAATCAAATCATAAGAAACGTTCCTGCTCTTTTTGAATGTCTCTGTGTGAATCTTTAATTTGACATCCTGATCGGGGTGGACGGCTTTGTGGTGAGAAAGCCTTTAGTGTGACTGAAAAACTAATGACACTTGATTCCTGTAACAGCACTTTTTTTATCCCGTTTTAACTAGTAGACACACTTGTACCCCCATTTTAAGTCAAGCAGACAACTGACTTTTTTTCCAAAGCAGGGTTTTGTTAAGTATCCTACGTTTTAGGCGGGCATTGATTCTGGTTGATCTTATCAAGGTATGAACATAAACTTTCTAAGATCTAAAACTTGGTTGAGCTCTGTGATCATCGCTGTAAGCATTAAAATTACGTGATCTTAATGCAGTAGATAGTAAGTGCATGGTAATTTAGCTTCTAGCAGCGACTGCAGGGAAACTTTCATAGTAGATGCTTTCAAGACAGTCCAATATCTTAGATTTTTGAGTTGACTGTCAAATTCACTTCTCACTTCATCCATGTTTGTTTGTAGTGGTTATTGTTTTCGTTTTACAAAAAATGGGTCCCACATTTGCATCACCATGCATGGTAACACATTCATTCATTATTTAGCTTTGACACAAATCTCAACTAACTTGCAAGTTGATTTTGTAGTCTACTGAAAATAACTGGAAACCAAAAGCTTTCTTGATTATAAGAAAACAAACTAAATATTAAAATTCTGAAAACCAAACTCCATCACATAGAACATGTAGTGGCTATTCAGGAGCTTTCAACTATGTCTCACAATCTTCCACAGCAGATTTACAGTACTGTTTAATTGTTTTATGCAGGTGTGAAAAAATTCTGTAACGTTAGAATGCTTTCAAAAATATAGATGTTAATAGATTATCAGTTAACAAAATAAAAAGCGAGTGAACAGAATTGCAAAAACGCATAAATTTGTGTAGGTATACTTGCACAAAGTCAGGGATTTTGTTGGCATCTCGTCAGGTCTGTGATTGAACAATTTTACCACACAGGTGCTAATTATCATAATATCAATACGTAGGTTGAAAAACAATCATTAACTGAAAGAGAACTGGCTTTGTAGAGGAATACAATTGGGTGAGGAACAACCAAATTCTGCTAACAAGGTGAGGTTGTTGAAGACCGTTTACTATCAAAAGTCATACTTATTCTGCATCAGCAAGGTGTCTCCCAGGCAGACACTTAAAGGCAGACAGGTTTATTGAGATTCTTCTTTTGTTGACTTTGCATTTAGTTTAGTTTAATTGATAAATATAAACTATTAACATTTGAAAGCATTCTTACGGTACAGCATTTTTCCACACCTGCCTAAAACATTTGCACGGTACTGTAGTTGCATAGTAGTTGAAATTAAGATTTTTCTGAGCAATTTAAGGACTTCTTGTCCATGCTGGTTTAAACTTAAATTATTTAACTTTAATCTCAACTTAAAGCATGCTTTGGAATGGTGAATAGCATTTTTAGTTAATGGGGTGAAACGTGCAAAACCCCTGACACAGACATTAAAATCCCCTTTCACAGCATGGTACTAAATTGTTCTTTTGCCGCTATTCAAAAAGACTGATTTAAAAAAAATATATAAAAAAAAACTTTCTGTGAGAGAACCTTTGAGATGCTACTGGATAAGAGGCTAACAAAGACGACAGGTTCACAAAGTTTCCAAAGGCGGCAAAATCTCAACCTTCAAATATCCCATGAGAGGCCGTTGGGTGATTGTTGCAGAGCAGTTAAAAGTACAGTGGATTAATCAACTCTCAGTGATTTTTCTTAAATCGTATAGCACAAAAATGAGCCTGCATGATGCTGTGAGGCTGAAATTCACCATGACAGCACAGAAGTCTTTGGATCATAGTTGGGTTCATGACTTGTTGAGTGTCCCCATCCTATATCTGTTAGTTCACCTCCATCAAGGTTTAAATTACATAAATAACAGAGCTTTCAGATCCATGTGCTTACTGATTTTATTACATAAATACACACATTGAAACAGGATCTGCTGCCCTCTGACTGCCCAACTGGGTAACTGTAGTTCACAGCAGATCCACCAGGAGGAAGTGTTGATATGTGTTTACCAGCCAAGGTGAAACCAGCAGGTAATTGCTCTGAGGTATTCTCACATGTGCTTCGGTGTGTCACGTTCGACAGGGAGCTTCCTGTTCTTTTGGCTGCGTTGATGAAGGTTTATCTATTCAGCGCCGCATGTACCCAGAATTGATGTGATGGATCACGGCCTGTTTGGCACCTGCATAATCCTCATTTAGATGCTCTGTCTATTAAATCCTGAGACGTAACTTGGTTTGTTGCATTCACAGCTTCTCCCTCATTCACACACATACACACTCTTAGCTGGCAGATGGATGCACATGCAGTGGATGTTCTTGTGTGTGTGAATGACAGCACATCCTTGCTTTTCTTATAACCTTCCTCCTTTATCTCCCTCTCGCTTTCTTTTTCTTCCCTTCACCGCCAACTAGCTCCTTCTGTTTGCCTTTCCCCCTGTGTGTCTATGCAGGCAGATGTATGTGTGTGTGTGTGTGTGTGTGTTTGTCTTCCAATAGAAAAGAGGAAGAAGAGGAAGGCTTGTGAAACCTCAGAGTTCCTGTGGTTGGAGCTCTCCTTCCTCTCTTCCTCCCTTCCTCTTTCTTTGTCTCTCCCTACAGACCGCTCTGGATCTGACACTTGAATAAATATGAAAGTGCCCTATTTTTTCTCTTTCTGTCTGAGGATTCACACACTTCTCAAAAGCAAACGGCACAGAGGCAGCAGAGAAGAGGTTTTTCTCTCATTCACTCTTTTTCTGTAGAACACATTAGAGCCTGTGGAAAAAGATAAAAGTGCCACAATCACACTCATGTTGTTTAATTAGTGCCACCTTAAAGACGCAGATTATATGATGTATTTTTCTTATTGTCAACAAATCCCATGAAAAGACCAAAGCCAACAATTAATTGATCGTACCAGTAATTATTGCCTGATAGGGCTATTCCTCTGTGATATAGAGCTGTTGTCCAAAAACTATTAAAAACACATGAATGAGCTAGACTGTTGCACTGGGTGACATGTTCCTTTATTAAACATAGGCACTGTGGTTTATTTTAAGTCAACCCCATATACTCACTAAATACTCTGTAAATACTCAGTGGAGCACCATTCATCCACGTCTGTAAATAGTCCTTAACAAACACACAATTTACTCCTGTTTGATTAACATTTTCTAAAAACTACAGTGCCCTGCTGTTTCAGGAAACAACTTATTTATTATTTTTAAAATAAAAGTATTCCGTCCGTTACTCCTTTTTAAAGAGTTTAGTAAGAATATATTTGAGCTGTAGCTGTAAATTCCATGTTTTTATGGATGAATAAATTGAACCTTTTTACTTGCCTTTTTTGTGATATTCTGCGTATATTCACCTCTTCAGGCCTCTGAAAATCTAGAACCCTTTGGAATTACCTGTATTTATGCATAAATTGGTCAAACAACAAACAAACATGTAAACATTCACAGTGCAGGATGGAAAAAGTAAGTGAACGCTTGGATTTAATAACTGGTTGACCCTATTATGGCAGCAATAACCTCAACCAAACGTTTCCAGTAGTTGCAGATTGGACCTGAACAACGGTCTGGAGGAATTTTGGACCATTTCTCTTTACAAAACTGTTCAGTTCAGCGATATTTTTGAGATGTCTGGTGTGAATCGCTCTCTTGTGGTTATGCCACAGCATCTCGATCGGGTCATTCCTGAAGGCGTATTCTCTTCTGCTGAAGCCATTCTGTTCTTGATTTACTTCAGTGCTTTGGGTCATTGTCCTGTTGCATCAATCATCTTCTGTTGAGACTCATTTGGCGGACAGGGTAAAAACTGCAAAATTTCTTGACAATCTTTGTAATTAATTTTTCCGCAACCCTTTCAGGCCCTGAGGAAGCAAAGTAGGCCCAAACCATTATACTCCCTCCACCATACTTCACTGTTGGGATGCGGTTTTGATGTTGATGTGCTGTGCCTTTTTTCCTACACAAATAGGATTGTGTGTTCCTTCCAAACAACTTAACTTTGGTTTCATCTGTCCACAGAACATTCAGGTGCTCTTTTGCAAACTTCAGATGTACAGCAATTTTGGACAGCAGTGGCTTGCTCCGTGGTGTCCTCCCATGATATCCTTGTTCAGTGTTTTACATATCATGGAGTCGTCAACAGAGATGTTGGCATGTTCCAGAGATTTCTGTAAGTCTAGGATTCTTCTTAAAATCATTGAGCATTCTGTGCTGTGCTTGTGCAGTCATCTTTCCAGGACGGCTACTCCTTAGTGAGAGTTGCAACAGTGCTGAACTTTCTCCATTTATAGACACTTTGTCTTTCCATGGACTGATGAACATAAAGGCTTTTAGAGATACTTTTGTAACCCCTTCCAGGTTCCTGCAAGTCAACAGCTCTTTTGTTCGATGGATGGCAAGGATCACATCAGGCAATGCTTCATGAGAATAGTTGTTTTTTATAGGGCAGGGCAGCTCTAACCAACAGTTCAAGTTTAAGCAGACTGTGTGATGTCTTGTGACTTAGATGAAGATCAGATCACATTTTATGACAAATTTGTGCAGAAATCCAGGTAATTCCAAAAGGTTCACATACTTTTTCCTGCGAACGTATAACCAACACGCATCCTTTTCAATAACGGCAGTGTAGCTTACCTAAGCAGTCGGCGCTCTGCTCACTCTTTTTTCCACCGTGCACTTCATGCCACTCACCTGAAAGTCATGCTGTCACTTGTTGTCAATGCTCCCAGCACCCATCCACCTCTGGGCCCTGAATTGTATCGTCACCCTCTACTCTCTGCTTTCCTGAGCCTGCTGCTTCCTTGTGGGGAGTGATGAAGTCAAAGCCTAAACACCAAATATCAATGCCCTACATATTCTGCTATTACATTATAACCTATTGAATGTGAGTTGGCTGATTAGACCTCATTTTAAAGGATCAAAGTTAAAGACACTCACTGCA